CATCAAACTGAAGATTTAACTGAAATTCCTTTAATCTTTTAGAATCTTTAAGAAATCTTTAAGGAGTACTATTTTCTTTATCTTTAAGAAGTACTATTTCAACAAGATGTATGCAATACCTTCACAATACAAGGAGTTCCATTTCTTGTATCCAGTGCTAATATGACTGATGACACAGTGCCAAGAACTTTGAAGAACTTTAAATCTGAAATGGGTGCTTCCAAAGATTTCCAGCTCCTCACACAAGTATCCTACAAGAAGAATAAATATATTATTGGTCTACATAGTTAAACAGAAACTAGTAAGAAACAAAAAAGACCAAATAGGGGGTATACAATACTTTTAATTGAGGAATATCAATAACTTCTGGGATTGATCTAGTTGTATTATGATTCCCGTCAAGATGGTTGTGATAAATTTGTTCTGCTCTCAATAAATACTGAGATGCTTTTCTTTGCACAAATGATTTCCTCTCTTCAGAAATATCCTCTGAATAACATGAAAAAATATTAGAAACAGAAGTGTTGTTATGGTAAACATTATATGCCGTGACTTGTATTCCTACCTAACACACCACCTAGAAGACAAGAAATGGCCGCTTTGTAGGAAGCAAATGCCACTTCAAACTTGCAATTTGTTTCATGTTCTACAGCTTGACTGATGTGATACCCTGCTTGAGTAATATAATCTACTTCTAGTGATGTTAAAAAATCATCTTCTGTGGTGTTGTTGGGACTCAAAACTTCCTTAGTGGTTTCATCTGAAACTGCTCTCAATGTATCATTGACATTTAATTTTGAGGGACAAAGAGTGCTTTGATTTGAAGAAGTATGCTGTTTAGAACAGCGAGAAGAAGCTGGCAATTGTTTATCAGACTCAAGAGCAACTGCTAGTAAGCTAGAGTCACAGCTCCTTGTTACAGTAGTTGCATCTAATGTATCATCTTTCACTTGTTTGTTTTCGCTTTCAAACTTTAGATTGTCATGGGTTGGTGTCAGACACTGCTTAAAACCTGAACATTAAAATAAAACAAGGTAACACATATATGAATAATAGTATAGCTATTTTACGCACAAAACGAAGTTTTTTCTTCTACCTTGGACCCTGCTGTCAAGTCCAGATGTATCATCCTGCTATATAAAAATAAAAGAAATAAATTAATGCCATTCAAGTATAGATTTCTAAATATATTCTTTAACCTGCCATTCCTGGTAGCTTACTTCATTAACATTTACCTGCTGACATGGTGAATTCATAATACTAGTTGAAGAGTCTGTATCTGTTAATGAGGATAGGCTGGAGTTTTGGGAGAGTCTGTCATAACTCTCAGATCTGCAAATTGACAAGCAGATCATCAAATAAATACAAAAATGAAGAGTAATTTAAAATACTACAAGACTTACGTTGGTTGTGCTGTTACATCTGGTAATAAACATAATTGCTGGTTCTCACTCAGCACGTTTTCAGTAAGTACAACTTTCTGACTTTTCTGAAAAAGAGATACGGTTTATTATTTTTTTAAATATGAAGAACGTTTTGTAAGTAAAATTTAATTTAACTCACCTCAAAAAATTTTACACAGGATTGACTAGTGAAAAGGGGGGGATGTTTAGCTGTGAAATCAAGTAAGTCCTGGGCCGTACGGCGCCTTTCTTCGATAACATCAGATTCAAACCTAACAATAAGAAAAGATACATTTTTCTTCATACCAATCGAAAGGAACTCATTGCTATGCTGTTCCAGAGGGACTCAATACCAAATGGATTATCTGAAAACAGTAAAACAGAGTTTACCTGCCAAACAGACGGGGTTTGCTGAATGAAGGAAATTGATCTTTAAGGTAAAGTTTCTCATGACGGCTCTTCAGATCTTTGTAGAGTATTTGAAATTCTTTGTATCGTTTCCAAACAACAACCTCAGTTTTAGCCTCAGGAGAATTTCGAGGGAAAACCTACAAAAACATGAAGAGGTACTGAAAAGGTACTGAAGTATAGATATTAGAATCAGTTGTAAGTGCAAGTCAACCTCATCAAAGTGCAAGCCTAGATTACTGATTCATTAATCAATGAAAAACAAACCGGTTATAAACCAATAATGAGATACATACTGTGGAGGTGACTTTGTATACAGTAAACCCTTTACTGTGCCGCCGGGGATCCGTGACAGTAAAATATCTAATCCACTGATCTGTCATGTCTCACAATCAAACAAATGCACATTTTGTCATGAAATGTTGTAATTTCGAGAAGAAACTAACACGGACAAACAGACAGGCTGGTACATGTTCATGTTCAACGATTGAGTTGAGCAGACGACGAATATTTTCTCAAACACATAAACCTAGATGTCGCCACTTTCAGCTTTCATGTAAGGAAACAGAAAACACGAAAGAAGAAAAAATGTGTTTCTTTTTCGTTTTGAAAAATGAATTGAATAGAGTTGATAAAGTGTACAAGATTATCAAGTGGCAAAAGATAGCGTTTCATTACTTCTATTGGGTGTAAACGCCGTATCTTAACGCCATTATGGGATACATCTTTGTGTGAGGTCGTTGGTGGAACTGTCAGCTTGCCACCCCGCCACAATTATGAATAATAATAATGGGCCTTTCTCAAGTGCCTCAGTTTCGACAGTTTCGAGGTTGCTGTATTTTTATTGACACACGTAAAATGTTGCCGTTTCTGCCAATGCTAGACCGAAGTAAGTCATGCACATGGCTAAGCAACTCGACCTCAAAATTTTCTGTTAATATAACTTCAAAAGTTCCCGCTGATTTTGTTCCTGCGAATAAGAAAATTGTTGTCTGCTATGCATGGTGATGGTGTACACAAATCGCATGGTGCAACTCATTTCAACTTATCACAAAGCGTCTTGATACTAGCTCCAGTCTAGGACTGTCTTTGGTCGAGTTTTTAGTTTACTGCCGCGTGCGCGGCTGCTCTAGCGATTTGCCGCGTCTTTATTGGATACTTTCTTTGCTTGATCCAAGTCATAAAAATATTGTTTGCATTTGAGAATAAAATTATTTTCTTGACTGACACATCGGAGCAGCAGCTTAGGGCCGTTTTTGGTTCTATGGGCTCGGCTTTTCGCTCGAAGCTCGCTAACGCTCGCGTCTCGCAAAAAGCCTCGCGGTAAAAGCTCGTTCAAGTTTCCGTTCTTGGTCAGCTTACAGATACAGCTGCATATTCATTTTGAAATGCTAAATTTCACACGATTGAAAGAGGTTAATGTTCTGCTAATCTCTTTTCCTGCCCGGGGGAGCCGTGGCCGTCGCTAGGGAGGGGGAAGTGTACTCCAATGCAACCAACTGTGCAATGCCCATACAGCACATTGTGCACATCGAATAGCCACATCACCTTTCATTTTAGCCTACAATTTATATTTTCCCTACATAGCTTTACAGGGATCTATTTAGTAACGTCCACATTCGGGCCTTAAATTTTTTTGAATGTAAAAATGTTGAGAACAATTTTTTGACATTTCAATGTTGTCAGCTCCAGGGTGCTCTCTCGCTGGGCCCACCGGGCGGACACCCTCCCAATGTTAGCTATGGCCGAGTTTGTTTCAGTTCCAGTCTCAGCTTTAGTTCTATCGACTCGACCAACTATGGTGGTATCTCAATTGCTGCATTCGAATTGATAAAAGTCAACATTTGGAGATAATATCGTCACCAATATATTTTGAAAATCACATCATCGCTAACATGGTTCGTAAGATCAACGATGAAAGTTGTGTGTGTATTAACCTTACTTTTGACCCATTGAAACGGTCTGCAATTTCCAAATTTACTTCCTCTAGACTTCTTTGGTGTATGCTGGTCTTGGAATGGCAGCAATCGGTATGATTGGGCGCTACGCGATCAGATCAGGACTGTCCAAAAAGATAGCTTCCATTCAAATTGATGTACGTTTGTATTAATAATTGTTTGAGAATATAATGTGTCCTCTCTGCTCATACTCACGCAAAACCGTATGCTCACAATTTTATAGACTATTGGCTCAAAATATTATAAGGGTGGATTCGATCCAAAGATGACAAGAAGAGAAGCTTCACTCATTCTGGGAGTATCCCCAACAGCCAGTAAATTAAAAATTAAGGTAAGTATTAATATAGATACATTTACGTGAATGCCTTTTTGGAGACTTTTTGACAGTTAATAATATTTTTGCAGGATGCTCACAAGCGCATTATGATAGTCAACCACCCTGATCGTGGTGGATCCCCATATTTGGCTGCAAAAATAAATGAGGCTAAAGATCTTTTAGACAGCCAGAAGTAATAAATGAAAGAATCTAATGTTATATTGAAAACTTGTAAATGCTGTATATAATCAATTATTTTTTTCTAGTGTTAGAGGAATTGTTTAAGCGTCCACATTCATTTCGTTTCAAAATAAAAATAGAAAAATGGTGATGATGAAATCATTATACAAATAGTCGCCCCTATATTTTATATTCAATTGTATTATCACAGGCTAGTTAAGATTTGAAAGAGTATCACAGAAGCTAAATACTGGAAGCTTACACCATGATGAATGGCAAATAAAAGTGATGAAGCTGAACAAAACTGATCTTTCGAGGGAAAAGTCTAAAACAGAAATGCTAATGAGTCCTATTATCTGGCACTTACAAGCAAGTAAAAAATATGTTTATGAAAATAAAATAGTTGGGTCTAGACTACCCTCATTTTTAAACAAATACATCAGATGGAAATTTAACACTTGATTAGAACAAATCTCAGAGGAGACGTCAATCTACACTGTGATGACACATACCCTGAAGTGAAAATTTGACACTTTGGTTTTACAAAAGAAAAACGAAAAAAAACAAAAAAAAACGAAGAATACAAAGAATCATGAGCACAGCATGGCACAAAGTAATTGCTCTACACAAGCACGGAAAGTTTGATCAGAAGTGAATCTTCAAGGTTTTTTACATACATAAAAGCCAGACAAAATTATAATACATCAGGGAACTTATCCTAGTCTCTCATATAAAACAAAAAAATATAGAGTGCATTGTATATCACATTTTAAGATTTATGTCTTTCTTGCGATATTTTTTCTCTTAATCTGATGATAGTGCTAGTAGGCAGTGGTCCTGGGACTTGAAATATATTCTGCACAATAAGAAAGAAAAAGTCAGGTTGATGTTTAATTTAAAAATAAGATATACGTAAGTCATGCTATTGTGTCACCTTCATAAAGAGATGGCAATGAAGAGTACTGGAGTCGTTAGATAGTGATTTGAAAGCCGATGCTAAACTTCCAAAGTCTTCACAGGTTAATAATGAATTAGTCTGATTTTTTATCAAAGTGAGACATACTCGAAATATGATCTTTGATCCCTCATAAAACAAGCAGTCCCAAATACGTAGCACAGTCTGAAAAAGTGGCATGCAGAATGAAACTATTAATAATGAAAAATTGTTATCGGTTGTGGATTTAATTTAAAACATGTCCATGTTAAGAAAAAAACCTCTTGATAACTTTTCTTACCTCAACAGGTAAAACCTCAGCAAAAAGACAAATGAACCATTTAGTGGTGACAACAGGCCATGGCAAACCTAAATCTGAAACTTGGCGATGAATGGCAGGAGCTTTTAAGCGTACTAACTCTCCTAAGACATCAATGTCAACTACAACACCTTCCATTGTTGGTCCATAGTAGTCAGGTAATATTTGTTCAACTAGGATTTTCAGAAGCCAAAAGGAATTCTCTTCACTTTTAGTCACAAGTAGGAGCAAACCAGCTATGTAATTCAAGCCCTAGACATACAAATCATCAATACCAAGCAGATTCAAACCAAAAAGAATAACAAAATATCAAATATTAGTGGCAATACAAACCTGACAGTATCCAACGCGTTTGTTGTGATGAGCATAGGCACAAAGCACTCTAAAAAGCTGATTTCTTTGTTCACATTGATCACTCTGATTGAAGAAAATGTTGTCTGGAAAAGTTCTTGGTAAATCAACGCGAATTGAGCTAACCACTTCATTATCATGAGTTTCATTCAGTAGTTCCCTATAGAGATTTGGACCCATTTTCTCACGTAGCTGAGTTGCTCCACTGGCCCAGAGCCAAACCTTGGGCCAAAAATTAAATAAATGGAAATATGTGACGTATTACCATAACAAAATACCTCAGTGGTTCAGGGCACTCACCTCGGCGCGATGCTCAGCTGGTACACCTTTCCTCATGTAACGTTTAACGAGGGGGCCTCGTTTCAGTGAATTGGGATTGATCATGAGTCGCGCCCACTTCCGAGACCGTCGAGCAAGAACTGGTAAGTACTCGGACATAAACTCTTCGTATGCTTCATAATTGAAGTCATCACCTCGTTCAAATCCATACTCATCAACCTTACTAGAAAATACGAGTCACAAAGCAGATAATCACAGATAATTATAGCAATTGTAAACATTGTCCTCGACACTCATAATAAACAAAGTAGCACATACGGCAAACACATTCGAAGAGCTTCACTAACCATTACATAGACCTACCTGAAAGAGGACTTTGCCATGAGCAGGAAATTTTGATTGTGTTAGATGAGAAAAATGCAACTCTGTCCCCCTTCAATGAATCATTCATACAGAACAAATTGGTGAGATTAGAAAGTGGGGATGAAGAGGTGTGGGGCGTCTGCTTCTAGTGTGAACCGCAATGTAAGGTCGGCGCGTCAAATATATTGGTTACTGCGGATAGTACAATAACGACTATATGCAGCAGGGTAACAGTGACAGTACCGCCACATTTTCGGTTCGAAAATGCAGGGATAACTTAAGGATTTCCCTTGTTGTGACGAACTATGTTCAGACGAAATGGGATCAAGAAGAATGAAGACAAGGTAATAAAATATAGGTTAACTAGCACTGTACCGCTGACTCGAGATTTATTTACAACAGAAGTAATCTACATGGTGCTTTCACAACGAACATTGAATGACATTGCTGACAAATTTATATGGTTATTCCCCGCTTGAACACAAGGAGCACTATGTATAGAATGTTAAAAATGTAATAAAACAGCATCTCAGCTAATTTAAAGAGGAACAATAGGCTTCAGGTCAGGGTCTGAAAAATAATTACAATACATTAAATGGTGAATGTAGTTAATTAGACGAACTTAGAAGGCTCAATATGCTTACTGTCGAACTTCATGGGAGGCAGATCAGTCAAATTCTGTCCTTGTTTGAAACCATACATCTTGGAAACTCGCTCAAGTTCTGCAGCTAGCTCCTTCTGGATGTCCTGAGTAGGTTCCACCAACTTTCCACCGCTGTAATCAAATGTCAAATTAAAACCTTGAAGTTGTTAAACTTTTAAAATGAAAAAATTTACAAAAGTTAAAAGCTGGAATGACAATTAGGATATTAAACATTATATTACCTGCTCTTCTGCTTGTATTCCCTGATTTTATCGACAAACAACTGCTGAATAGGGTCTGCAGCCTTTTGAGCAGCGGGTACACAGATACCAAAATTCCTCCTCAGAATAGCGGGTGCTTGGCGAGCACTAACCAGGACTTGTGACAAAACCATCTGTGGAAGAAAAACACATTTGAATTAAAAAAAACATAGACATTTAAATTACCTTTTCAGATCAAAACTATTTCTAAATAAGGGTAAAAGGATCAAAAGAAAATTGAAGAGAAACGTCCACCACAAGTCGAGATAGCAGCACATAAGTATATACCCATCACAGAAACAGAAACACTGTTAACTTGGGGATGAAGGGGGGTCGTGGCTACACAAATACTACAGACTTATCGGAAATCAAGTACAGAAACATAATAATACTCTCTAATATTGTATTTGGGAATGGAAAAGCATAACCTCGAACAAATAGCTATGGTGTGAGAAGTTAGACATTTGAGCACCTGTAACAACTGCTGCATCCTACTATTTAACAAAGAAAATACCGCTTCTGAAAGCGAAAGAATATTGTGAAGGGAGCAAATATGATATGAAGAGCAAAAATAGTACTTTCGGCCGAGGGCTTTATCCTAATATATTCCTAAGTTGGCTTAGACAACTATAACAATGACGAAATGCTGCACGCACGTTCTTTAACGTTTGTGGATAAATTCTTAAACAAAAAATCTAAATGAATCAAGTTACCTTGCCCAAAATATATATTCTTCCCTCTGAAGGTTATTCTACGACCACTCGCTCAGCTGCTTAGCAGAAAGATGGCGGCGATGAAGAGGTTCGCTCGCTGACAAAAGACGTCCAACGTCATTATTCTCATACAGAGGGCGCCACGAACCGGATCTACTTCTAGCCTCGCTTCTAGCCGCGCGTTGCCGCCCATGGTTTTGAAGACGGCAGATAAGGGCTATAAAATCATTTTACAATCCGTATCTGAATTATATTTTGAAAGGTTGCATTTTGGAAATACAAATACTAGTTCTGACCCGAAATAAATAATCGCGAGTCGCGGCTGAAGTCGTCCGTCTGAGGGGGCGGAATGCACTATACTCAACACACCCTAGGGGTAAGAGTTGACTTTCCTCCTCAGGTAAAGTCGACCACACAAGGGGTCGTCCAGAAAGTACACCCGTTTTTTTCTCAGGTTCACTCGGCAAGTCATAGGAGCTCGACGCCTGCGCGACTCAAGACAGGCCACGGCGTGGTGCACGCATGCACTGCTGGTAAGATGTTGCCTACCGAGCAGGCGCTCTGAGAGCTTGCGTGGGCTGAACTTTGCAGTTTCGTAGAATGGCGGAAGTACTTCTTTCTGGATGACCCCCAAGACGAATAAACAAATGTGCTTTTTAAAATTACTTTTGACAGCCCACCTCTTGGATGAGCTCCATCTTCCCCCAAGAAGTTTTTGTATACCCCTACTGTCTGCTTCATCAACAACTAATGGAAACTATTGTATTGGGTTGAAGGCAAGAAAAATTATAGGGATTCTAAACAAAATGATCTGTCAGAAATGTCTTTATTTTAATAATTTCAACATGACGTAAATAATTTATGATAAAAACATTTTCTTTGAAATGTTTTACATCATTAAAGGTTGGTTTGTAATAGATGCACAAAATATGACAACGGAAACAATGACGATGAAGGTACAAATTATAATACAACAGAACTTTCTTTAATTTTTTTTAATAACATATACGATATGTTCATATTTTTATTATAAAAGAGTTTGGTACTTTTAAAACACATTAGCAAAACATAATACTCTGTATTGCAATTATTGTAACAATGATTATTGAAGTTACTAACAAACTTCATAACACTACAGTTATCATACCATTTACACACAGGATCCAACAAGTCCATTCTTTCATCTTACAGCCAACACTGTGTTTATAATACAACACTCTTACAAACAAAGCTTGAAGAGCAACTAGATAAAACAAGGAAGAAAATCATTTGAATCACATGTTAACTTCACATTTTTCTACCACAAAGAGGGCATGTTTACTGGATACTTCCAAGATCACAAAATATAAAATGAGCCAGGTATTTACACTACAGATTCAGCCCAGGCCAGCAGAGAGCAAACAAATAATAACCAAATTTATATTAACACATTTTGATATGCATTAATATCATAGCCTCAGTATGTGGAATTTTCTCACTAACAAAATCAAGTCTCATTGTCTTTCTTTATAAAATAAAAAAGTAGGTAATAATTAAAAAATCATGATGTGAAAATATTCAATTAAAATGTGCAAAATGACCATTTGAGGTAATAATTACAATGACAGGGAAACTGAAACAATCACAACTCATGCTTCAGAGAAAGCCTTGATTACATCCACTAAAATGCCAGCTGGCAAATAACCGGCAATCTGCATCAGTTAAAATCACAAATGTCAAATGTTGGATGAGTGAAGTCTTATTTGTTTAACGCAAAGTCAACAGCAGACTAATCATCGTCTCTATTATCAGCCTTAACATCAACCATTGCATGAAGCTCCTCTGGCGAATATCTGCAAGTAAAAGGAAAAAGGAAAACTGTAGCAAACACTTACATAGATGTTCAAGTAATTTCAAAAAAATGCAATTTAAAGTTCATTAAAATTATGGAAATATTTCTCAACTTACCCCAGCAAGCTTTGTAGATCACACACAAAGCGGTAGACATACCGCTTGCCTGAAGTCTTATGAATAATATTTTTGTCATAGTAATACCGAAGCCCTCGGCTAAGCTTCTCATAGTTCATTTTGGGTTTATTTTTGCGGATACCCCAGCGGCGCGCAACTTCATCTGGGTCTGTGAGCTTGAACTCCCAACCGTCCCCGGTCCAGGAGATGAAGCTCTGGCATGACTTGTCGGTGAGCAGTTCTAGGAGAAACTGCCACAGCTGGATTGGTCCTGACCCAGTGAAACAGGGTCCGCTACCTATGACGACAAAACAAAGAAACGTGAGGTGAGATGAGAAAGGAGTTTGCAGTCAATTTAATCAGTTGAAAGAGCGACCTCCGAGTACGCAAGCCAATGCGTCGTTGACCTCTGACTCACCTGGGTTCTCGTTGAGCCCGCCGTAGCCCAACATGGACGTTTGAAGCATGGGCTTCATATCCTGCGCGGGGCCCATGCCGAAAGGGTCCCTCAGTGAGTCCCTCAGGGGGTCTCTCAGGGGGTCCCTGAGGGCCGACAGGCCCGAGTGGGAGTGGTGGATGAAGGCGGGGTGCGAGTGGAGGTCTCCGGCCGCCTCGCCGCTGGACCAGTGGTCCGCCGCCCCCATCCCCGCCCCCGTCGCGGGCGACGCTCCAGATCCGGCCGCACCGACGCCGCCCGCGACGCCGTTGGGTACAGTCTGGAAGGGCGACGCGTCGTAGTGTGAACTATAGTCGCCGTAGCCGTCCTGATAACGCGCTGCAAACACACAGAAACAAGACATTGTAAAACACCGTATTATGGCACCAGTAGGCATACTCTAGAAGGCGAACAAAATGGCTAGAGACGTAAGCTGCCTGAACGTATACACCCCTCGCAGTTGGCGAATGTCTCTACGTCGCAGGGCTGGGCAAACCCGCTAACTCGGCCCGAACTCGGACAGTCCGTCCCATCCAGCCACTTGATGTGTCCCCGTCGCCCCAGTCTGGAGGGAAGACGGCGGGGCAAGCGGTCAGACGGGCCGAGCCGAGCGTGGCGGAGTGGAGCCGCCGCGCACGGCCGTGTCAACGTAGTCAGATTCGAACCACAGTCATTAGCATAATTTTATTCCCGGCAACATTCTGTTTCGTGTTTCCGGCCTGCAGCGCTGGAATCGGAAAACTCCTTACTGTTCCACGAAAAAAATATTCTCGCGCCGCCGCCGTAGACTGCGCCGCCCGCGCCAGCGTGCCCGTGCCCACCTTCCCCCGAGAGCCTCGCCATGGAGTTTCACCGCCTCTCACAGTCAGCCGCCTGACAAGAGCCCCTGTATGCAGGCCACCGGCGACCGGCCGCCGGGCCTTGATCCGCGCCTGCACCCTTCAGCACCACATAATGCGCGACTTCAACAACCCCACGCGGACCCCGACAGCCCGGCGCGTCACGAACCCAAAGTGTAAAAGTGTGCACGCCCCGCCCCCGCCAGGGCCGCCCCCCGCTGCCATCGTGGGAAATGGATCAGGCAGCCGACACTTGCGCATGGGCTTGCGTGCTGGCGGTAAATCAACGGGTACCAGGGCGGCGTGGCGGGGCGGGGCGCGCTGGGGTCGCGCTGCGGTGGCGACGGAGTCAGGTGTGCGTCGGTTGATGGCTGGGGGAGGTGGGGAGGGAGGGAGAGCGCAGGTGGTGTGGCGGAGGGAGGGGGGGAGGAGGAGGGGGGGTCAACGAGGGCTCTTATCCCCGTGTATCGGACGTGCGACGTGCGTGGGAACCAGGAGGGTGCCCGTTGGTGCCCGGCCCGCCCGCGCATAACAATTACCTCTCTGTCTTTCTCCAACTCCCTCGCAAAGAGCCCGCGTGGGCGACAGTCGCAGTGTGTCGCTGTCAGGCCCCGCCCGCCCCGCCCCGCCCCGCGTCACCCGCGGCGGCGTTCGGTAGCTACAGGTGCGCCGCGAGCCCAGGGCCCCCGGCGGGCCCACGCGAGAGCCCCCTCATGTGCCGACCCGGGCGGAACAGGAAAGCGAGGGCGGTGTCGAAATGCTCGCCGACGCGGCCGCGAGCTAGGGGAACGCGTGTGGCGGCGTCGCCAGTCCGCCCGGCGATTGTGAAATGCTCCAACATGGCGTCGACCGTCGACCCGGTGGGTGCCCCCGCACCTCCCCCTCCCATGCCACCCCTTCCCAGCTGACCCTCCGGTGCTCGGTACAAAGGCGGGCAAGTTGAGGGGTTATTCCTCAGTGGCACGATTTCTCACCTCTGGGGTAACTCTTGTGGTAGTTCTGCACGTGGTACTTCTGGTCCGCGAGGCTTTGGTGCGCGTACAACTCGGGGCTCGAGTCCATGTACCCGGACGGGTGGTGGCTGCCGTCCAGAGACGGGTACTCGCTCTCGGACCGCTCGTAAGGTATCGGCGCGTTGCTCTGGGGGGCGGTGGCGGTGGTGGGCTGTGTGGGCTGCGAGGAGGGCACCACGTAGCTCACGGGGCCTTCCTCGGCCCCCGGCGTGCCTGCCCCCGACCCCGAGCCCGCGCCGCCTCCCCCGCCCAGGCCCATGCCCATGCCATCGGCGGGGAGGTGAGATCCATAACCTACGAAATAATGAAAGAAAATGTTTATGTTAGCGAGAGTAATTTCTCACATACAAAAGAAGGCGTCATATGTAGTATAAGAATTTGAGATTGTAGGCAGGACTGGTTACAATTCCAGGAGAAAGAAGAAAACTCACCTTCTGTCTTAATAGGGTACATAGATTGATTTGGATTCCTAAGGTGGAGGTAGGAGTGGCTGCTGGGAGGTGGCGTCGACTCATCTCGGCAGTCGGGGCTGCGCATGTGACCGTAGCCACCTGTGGGCAAAAAAGAAAACGAACACGGATTAGAGTGCTATTCACAAAGAGTGCCATATCTCACCGCCAAAGTCAAGAGGCGCTAGCCCGACCCAACGGTGCACATCTTAACAATGACGCAAACAAAATCAGTGCCACAATCTAGCGCGGGGTGGCTGCAAGTCACTCAAGGCCCTTACTAGACGCGCGAGTGCCAAGGCGCGGGGCGTGGCCGGGGGTCGGGGGACCGCTGTACATCCCCGCGGGGGTGACCCTTGGGGCCGGCGGCGGTAGCGCTCTACTGGCCCAGCCGGACCACCATCTCGAGAGCGGGTTCGCCGCGAGGTTCATGCGGGTCGGAAGTTGGCGCGCACTCAAACACACGGGCGCGGGTGAGGGTGGGGGGCTGGGGGCTGGGGAGTGAGGAGCAGGCGACGAGCGGACGGGACCACGACCAGGACGCATCCGCCCCGACGGCTCCTGGAGGCAGTACTGAGGCGTCCAGGCGCCGGCGGACCACTCCAGCAGCCCCGCCCCGCCCCTCCACGCCGTCGCAGCCCAGTGCTCGCCACGACTCGGTCGCCTCTTTTTGTCAGCCCGATTGGCACGGGGCTATGCAGCAGCAGCGACACTTTCAATAAGATTCGACACGACCCGGCACCGCGCCGCACCGCGGACCATCGCGGCGCCCCGTCCCGCCACGCCTCATCGCGCCGCGCAGGCCCAAGACGGTTGGTGGGCGCCTCGGTGGGCGCTCGGAGGCCCCGCCCCGCCACACCACGCCCGCCGCCAGCAGCCGCGCTTGGGCGGCGAGCTCCCGACCTGAGCGGGGTAGGCAACCCGAGCGCACGCCTGTGTGACGGGCGGGTGGGCGAGCAGGCGCCTCGAGCTGGGCCGAGCCATGGCCGGGCAGCGAGCGCGCCCCGCGAGCGGGACAAATGGCAGGAGGTGAGCGGGGGGCGCACGCGCTCCGCTCCGAACAGAGACAGAGTAGAAGGTGCGCTGCGGCCATCAGCCACTTCACAGCCCATTGGTTGGCATGATGGGGCCTCCAGCCAACGACCCCCCGCCCCGCTCCGCCCCGCCCCCAGAACACGCGCTGCTCGCGGCGCGTGACCGGGCTGCCCGGCCGGGCCATCAGCGTGTCCGGGGCTGTCCGGGGGAGGAAAGCACGAAATCACTCATCAGTCGGCACGGCGAGCGGGCGGGCCGGCCGGACCACAGACCACAGAGCACCGCGCCGCGCGGCGGACAGCGTGCGAGCCGCGGGGACAGGCCGTCGGACACGCCGCGCTTTCCAACAGCTGACGAGCCGCTGCTG